TTTCGTTCAGAAAACTTGTTATATTTACCATTCCTAATTTAGCGTTGTTGACGCTTGTATTTTTTCACCCTTCGTAGGAAGCTTTATTTTTGGTCTGAAAGTTTAGTCTGTTCGCCCTTTCTGGTAAAGATACATTAGGTGCAGTACCACAACTCTTTGCCGTAGTCATGATCTTAAAACCTGGTAGCACTGATAGAAAATTATTGAACCTGTTCTAGTCAATGTCAAAGTATACCCATATTATAACTATGTCTAAATCTTTATTTTGTATATGTATATTGGAGTAGGGAACAAAGTTATTTAAGTGGCATCATTGTAAGTATTTATCATAGATATCTATAAACTCTTATTTTCAGAAAAATCCATTCCATTTTGTTTGAATTATCATGCACACAAGCAACTGCACTAAAAGTCAAGTCAAGAACTTTGACCTTAAAATCAATAACAATTTAATTCGTGCTGACTATAAACTGTGTGTTCATAAAGTCAATGAAGTACAAAGATACCAGAAACGACCTTTGGCTCTAGCAAAATGCCAATTTATTCTATTTTCCTCCTTCTCAAGAGTGTTGATATGTCGATGGTCAGATCTGTACTATTTTTACTCAGAACCAATTCAATATTGCAAGGAGTGTTTTAATGAAAACAGCTCATATCTACGCCACCATTCAGGCAAACGGAGTCGCATAACAGTAGTTTTCAGATGAATCCAATTTTCTTTCAAAATCTTTAACATATTACTGCAATAGCGTTTTAGTGAAAACCTTACCCGTTTTTGACAAAGAGCAATATAGAAATTTTCAGGATGGTCACCAAAGCAGTAATTAAGGAGGTTAGATCAGCATCGTTTTAAATATCTATATATTTCAAAAGAAAAGTTTCCTGCATTTTATTTGTTTGTTTGTTTGTTTATTTGTGGGTTTTTTATATCTCCATATCGTTTGTCTGTCAGATAAATGTGTGCCCAATAATGCAATTGTATTTTCTGTCAATGTAAATATAGTATGAATCCCATTGCTGCATACATCATTACCCATTGTGTATTAATTTTGTTGGTAATATCGGACACGTGCAAAATGCTGTGGGTAGGAGGTCCTTTACCTCATTTATTCTGTCTCTGATTACTGCTATGGGATTTTAATATTTCATTATAGGCACATTGCATTGATGCCTTGACATGGTGCCATGTCTTTTACAATGGCACTCTTTTAGCTGTAGATGTATGTACTAACTGTATAATTTCTTTCTTTTTATTTTCTTGGTTTGATAAATTCGTTATACGAGGTCTAATTAGCTACATACTTTTAGTTCCAACTAGACATTATCAGACGTTTTCATGGAAGTCAGTGGGGAAACAACACTTAATTATGACCAACTAGACAACATAAGATGTCTTCTTGCTTCTCTAGTACAATGATGCAACTCATCGTGAAAAATCTTACTTTGATAACTGATTAAATTTTAAACTTGCGATTTCATTGACACCGAAAGCGACTACTTAGTTTCTTAAATGTGATGAAAAGTGAAGTATGTGCATAAGAGAGAAAAGATTCCAAGATGTCATGAAAATTGAAGTATGTGCATAAGAGAGAAAAGATTCCAAGATGAACTTTCCTTTTGTTCCGCAATCCTTCGACACGAACGTGACCCCATACAAAAATTTGCCAGATGTGCCCATCTCAAGGAATAAAGGCAAATGCTACCGATGAAATATAAACATCTTCAATGATTTTTAGTATTTTCGTTAACAAAAGCAAACATTTGTCACATTTTAACTCGACTAAAGGCACATGTAACTATCATTGATTACCATCCCTTGTTGGAGTTACAGGATAAAAACTACATGTCCACATCGATTGAGACCAGAGTAGTTTCTGTACATATTAGGAAGCGTCGGGAGTGGGGATGATGTTAATCATTCATGGAATTTTGTATGTTTCACTTTATCATTACAACGGACTCTAAAAATGAAACAAATTCCTAGATATATTCTAAACAGAAATTGCATGAGAACGTTACTTTTTCATGTTAGCAGGAGACTTTTTGATGGCTATGAACAATTATAAACAAAAAAAATATTACTTCAGCAACAATACACTCAGTGGAATATAAAATATGCTAAAACCGGATCTTCGTGTGTTTTATTGAACAATTAGGTAATTTGTTTTGATGTAAAATAATAAGTTGTGTAATTTGTTGACACGTTTACTTACAGTACAAAGTATTATTCACAATGATTATGCCACAAACACCGATAGCTTAATGGAATACTGTGTAATTTTAAAACTGCACCATTAATAACTCTTTTCAAGCGAAATGTGTGCATACATTCAGGCACAAAAATATACGAATAACTATTCTTCACTTTCAAACGTGGAACCAAAGTGTTGCAAGTACTCGATGTTTGTTGGCTATTAATAATTATGATGAAAGTAGAATTTGATGTTGGATAATAGACACGTGTCTATATCAAGAGCGAATGAAGCAGCTCGATTAAATACATCCTTTAAATGATTGAAGGTTGCCGATTTACTACAAATAATTACAGGAAGAAAGAAGCCAACATATGGGCAAACTGTACACAATAGCAGACTCATATCTTAAACAGTGTACGTTTTATTGCTGTATCCTTAGAAGTATAACCATATGTGAAAAGGAAGATAATGTGTATCTGCGAAAAGATTTTCTCTTAAGAAAACCAATCCGCAAAATATAATTTTTGTTGTTTTAGAAAGACTACACTTGGATATCTCGTACAACGGTTGTAAGCGTATTTTGCTGATCTCACCAAGAAAGCATAATAATTTTGTAAAACAACAGCTTTTATAGGCCATTTCAGGTGAATTTTGCTTTAATGTTTAAAAAAAAGTTCCATGCTACTTAAGTTTTGAACTAGTTTAAGTACAGCATCTGATTTTTTTTACGCTGGAGTAAAAATAAATATCTAAAACAATACAGTACTATATACTGCATTCTGTCAGCAGTGTTATTATTAACATCTGTCCATAAAAGTCAATCCTATATATTAGACTGCAAAAAATGTATTAGTAATTACAATGATATGCAGCAATTTAAAATATGTATATAATATGCAAAAGGTAGGCAGCAGTTAGGTATTCAGATCGCTACATGATATTTTATTTTTGCATTTGCAGGAGACGAAATGAATCTGGAATAAGACATGAATGCAAACGACCCATTCTTTGTGGCTGCAAACTGTACTTCTAATTTAAAAAATAAATAACTAAACAACGAGAATAACTATAACAATAACAATAAAAATAAGAGCAGTGTACTTACCTTGATACAACGATGAAGAGAAGTTAAACTGCAAATGATGATTTCGTAATTTAATGATACTTAGATCGAAGAAATCAATTTTATATCATAATGACAACTAATACAATTTTCATTCACATGATCCTTTATATAATTCAAGAAAAATATGCTGGTAGAAGCCGATAAATATCAAGCCTTTTTTTATTATATGCCCACATACGCAGTTTGAGTTTGAAAACCGAAAAAAAGTGACAGTGTATATAGCCAGCACACGAATATCCAATTTAACAGAACTGGTTGAACTCTTTAGTTCAAAACGTTGGTGCACAGGTAATAATATAATAATAATAATAATTGAAGTGAAAATGAAGAACTAGGAGATTTAGTCCCTCAGACATATTTTGTGCACTGCAAAATATATTGAGAAATGACCGGAAATTTAAATTCCTAGCTTTCAGTTACAATACTTTGCAACGCTTACTTGTTTTATCTGTGCACGTACCGAGTCTGCAAGCACACTGAAAATCCACAAAACGACAGTTAACTTACACTAAGTTGTTTTCATTCTTTGCTGAAGATGAGCGCATGGAAGAGTTGATTAGAGCTTTGATGTATGAACACTAGGCGATGGGCGCGGAATAAGTGCTTTCCACGAAGTTATATAGGGGTTTCCATTTTTTTTTTTCCATTTTTTTAGCGCCACAATGATATCGAATTTTGATCTCAATAGTCCCAGGCAGGATTTTTGTGTACCTTTAGTGCAAGTACCCAACAAACTTTGCTGAAAGCAAATTGTTAGAAATTTTGATAATCGTGCAATATAAATAAATAAATAAATAACTGAAGACATTTTGATAAACGTGGAATGCCCACATTAGATTCTGGGAATAACGTTTGTGTTAGGATATGCCAAACCACAGGTGTTCTGTTAAAGTGGAACGAGACATTTCGACCCCAGGACGTTTAAAGAAAATTCCCAAGTCATTTCAACCCCAGCTATGGGACAATTCGATCCCAATTCACGCATTTTAAAAACAATAAGTACCACATTGCTAATGGTCATTCCCACCAATCACGCGGTTATTCATTGGTGTCTGCAATGCAAGAAGATACCGACACACCGCTAAGTCGCCGAGCAAAGATGGCATCAGTTAATCATAAAGTTACTATCATCAAGTTAATGAATGCACACTAATTTCAATGAAAAGAAATATCAAGCGTACCGCACACTGTAAATTTGTATAAAAGAGACTACACTTTAATTCCGTGCCAATATTTATCCAAAGCTTTAATAAAGATATTTGGTGTACTTATATTTGGATTAAATATTTTAATGTTTGGATTAAATATCTTAAATAATGTTTATACAGTGACATTTCAATTGGATATATGTTTGTATGATAATAATTGAATTGTGTTAATTGTGACATTGGTGTTTTTTCCTTGTGTAAAATGCTATAGGCATGCCTGGCCTTGCCAACATGCTTTGTTTTGTGATAAATGCTGAAAAAAAACGTCAGCAATGCATCTCCGATAAAGGTAAGTATAATGATTCAATATCTATTTTTTCCTGTCTGTCAATCTTTCATATTTATTTTTTATTTAGGGTATGTATGTGTGTGATCTGGATTTTTAATGTAGCTTTAACAATTTTTCATTCATATCGCTAAGATTGTCTGCAGTGTGGCAGTTTATAGTACAATTTTTATAAGTCTTTGGTA